ACTCTGGAAGGCACTGGGAACTCTGAGACACTGGGAACTCTGGAAGACACTGGGAACTCAGGGACACTGGGAACTCTGGAAGGCACTGGGAACTCTGAGACACTGGGAACTCTGGAAGACACTGGGAACTCTGGGACACTGGGAACTCTGGAAGGCACTGGGAACTCTGAGACACTGGGAACTCAGAGACACTGGGAACTCAGAGACACTGGGAACTCTGGGACAGAAAGGCCCTGCGGGGACACTTCCATGATGTCAAACAATTTTACACGTGCACGATGAGGACTGCAGGCGTGCCGACATGTTGTTGTTGGTGTTGTTCATGTTAATAAAACCTGCTGAGATCAAAGTCTGGTTTTATTCTAAAATAAACCAATAAAATAAAATAAAATCCACTGGGACGCCTGAATTTTCCCTCAACGGGACATTAAAGGCTGTTTCTATTTTAAAGCCTCTGATTTTATTTTAAATTATTCATTTCATTTAAAACCAAAAAATTTTTTACTCATTAAAAACAAAAGATATACACAACATATGTACACACACACACACACACAAAACAAATCAAATAGAAATGAAAGGAGGAAGACAGAAGAAAAAAATCTTAGAATTTCTGCCAAAACAAAAATAATAAGGAAAAGAAAGAAAAAAAACATAAAAAACTTCAATTCATTCTCCAAAACTTCGATAATTATAGAGTTTTCTTTAACAAACTTATTTTTATCTTTCTCTTAAACACATTGAACCAACATTTTTATAATCACTTTCCAGATTATTCCATAATCTTATTCCCTGAAGCGAAGTACATCTGACCTTCGTTTGTTCGAATTCTAGGTTTCACAAACATCTCCTGTCCTTTAACATTATAAGAACTTTGTCTCTTAACAAAATATAACTGAATGTTTAAAGGTAACATTTTTATGAGTCTTATACATAAGCTGCAAAATATTATAATCAAACAACTCATAAAATTTAATAATTTTCATTTACAGAATAATATATTTGAAGGGTGACTAATGTTTTCTGGTGATAATTCTTACTGCTCTTTTCTGTAAAATAAAAATAGGATTTGTGATTGTTTTACCCCAGACTTCAACACAGTAAATAAAGTGTGGAACATTTATTGTATTATATGATATAATCATTGAATAACTGCCGTACTTCATTCAGAATCCAACAGATTTAGTTGTTTTTGTTCCCATGAGCTCTGCATGTCTTAAACCTGCTGCTGTCCTGAGCTTCATGAAGTCTTTGTGGCTCAGCTGGACCTGAGACCAGCAGGAGGGTCAGATGTTTACATAGATCTGTTTACACAAACAAACAAACAAACAAACAAACCTGTTCACATGAAATGAATCCATTAAACAAACTAAATATTAAAACTTTATTTTATTGGACCAAATGAAACATTTAGAACTCTGGTTCTGTTCAGGTCCTGTTGCTATGGTAACGCTTCAGTTCTCCACAGAACCCGGCGGCCCGTCACCGGCCCGGTTCTGTCCGAGCAGCAGGTAGATGGCCTCCAGCTGCTCCTGCTGAACCCTGAGGAACCAAAACAAACAGGCTCAGATGTTAACCAGAACCAGAACCAGAACCAGAACCTGTGCGGGACCACATCAGGTTCCTGAACTGGTTCCATCTGGACCAACAGAACCAACATAAAGACCCAAAGTCCACACTGAAAACTGGTCCCAAATAAAGGTTCTAATGAACAGAACCRGTCCTGGACCTGAGCTGCAGAACTACAAACTGGACCAGAACCGGTCCCACAGCAGGGTCCAACAGGTTTGATTTAACTGAAGCTGAATTATGACAGGACCAGAACCAGAACCAGAACCAGAACCTAACAGTTTGCTTCAGTTAAATGAATCAGAACCAGAACTGGTTCTGATTCTTTTAGGTCAGATCAAACAGAACCAAAACATTTACAGTTTAACACAAACTTAGGTTCTGATTGGAGTTTGGTTCTGATTGGACCTGGGTCCTGGCAGAACAAATGGTCCAGTTGATTTGCTCCGGTTCTGTCTGGTTCTGTAGAGAATGATGCAGAAGGCACTTTGATGTTTGGTGGTTCCAGAYGGGTCAGAACCTGTTTGAGGTTCTGGACTGAAACCGGGTCAAGAAGGTAAAAGAAACAACTAAACCCAACTTGGTTCTGTCAGGAGGTTTGGATTTGGGTCTAAAACGGGTCGGGTTTGTTAACTTGTGTCAGTGGGCAGGGTTAGAAACCAGCAGAACATCTGGACCCAACAGAACCAGGAGAAACTAAAACTAGAACCAAACGGACCAGAACCAGGTGTGGTAACCAGGTTCCACCAGCAGGTGGAGCTCCTGCTGCTCCTGTGGTCCTCTCAGAACCAACAGAACCAACCCTGACCTGGTCCAGTCAGAACCAGCTGGGAGGACCATAAAGACCAAGACCTGAAACAAACCTGTGGGGTTAGTGAGGGGGAGGAGCTTCATCAGACAGGACAGGAAGGGGAGGAGCTTCATCAGACAGGACAGGAAGGGGAGGAGCTTCATCAGACAGGACAGGAAGGGGAGGAGCTTCATCAGAGAGAACAGGAAGG